CAACAAAGTTGGTCGCCAGCCAACATTTAGCCATTCAACTTTTTTTTCGTGCAACCCTGCGTTGAGTTGAACGCAATTGTTGAACGCAAAGTAGAATAATGCAAACACTGCTTAATATCGTAAACTTCTCTCATCATCATTGTTGAATTTTCCATTCATTTTTCTTTTTCAGGTCCCAAACGCACAAAGGCTAAAAAGTACGTTTTACCCCTTCTCAAAAGAAAAACAGCAGATCGAATTCCTCAGCAATGAGCGTAGTTAAATATATTGGTCGTACAACTGATTTTCGCGGTAAGACACTGTGGGAGATTGTGGGAAATCTGCGGGACTCTGGTGTTGGCCGGCTCGTAATACGTAACAAATTCCAACGATATGAGGAGCCCTGCTATATGCGTATACTTAAGGTGGAAGTTACTCCACATGATCCTGCCAAGGACCCTATTCGTACAGGTCCCAAACGAACAAAGGCCAAAAAGTGGAGCTACGAAAAGGTTTGCACTCTTCCAAAAAATGAGATTAAACGCGCAAAATTTCGGTATAGTTGGTCGTTCTTTGGCAAAACTAGTTATTTATATACCTGCTGTTTTAAATTACTAATTATTTACGTATTAGTTACACGTAAGAAATGCAGTGTTTACAAAAATATTGCGGCTCGCCGAACAGATTGGTGGAACGCGANCGAACAGATTGGTGGAACGCGGCCTGGATTTGCATCTGCGTGCAAAACGCGCCAAAGATTGTCTGCGTTGGGGTTCTTTGAATGTAGTGTTGCTAGCGATACTGCTTTTCGACATATCTAATCAGTGTCCATATTCATACTCCAAATGGTACTATGTAGAATATTTGGCGGCTGCGCTATCGGGACTTGGAGGATTTTCATGCTTCTTAAAGTACTTTCTCTACCTATTCCATACAAATCCTTTATTGGGCACAAAGGAACAGAAAAACTTACTCAAGTTTGATGAGTGTGATTCCTCATTTGCTGTTACACCACCAGCGCAAAGAAAAAGCAATCATGCGATGATTTGGCGCCTAGTCAAATCAGCAACGGCCCTGCTGCTCAAGCTGCACCACTAAAACCACGACCGCATACATCTAGCGCATTGGATGCATCACTTACAGCAACGGCGCTGCCGGAAATACCAAGGGCTTAGTATTGGTATTCTTTATTCTTGTTTTATTTTAATTTTTGTTTTCACGTTCCTCTAATGCTTTCGGTTTTCCTAACAGCCACTGTTATTCATCCGAACGTGCTTTGTTGGAAACGTAAAGGCTGAGAAGAAGCCACCGTCCTCCGGCGGATTTCGTTGTAGTGGAAACATGCATCATATGTAGCTGGTAACTTCTTCCGGATACCGTGAGTACCTTAACCTTTTTATGTATGTACTTACGCCTCAGATTCCTACCTTGTTTATACTGACTCATAGAGCGATTTGACTCAGATCATTAGCGCACACAAGGGGTCACTTTTGGGGTTCAAACCCCTTGAAAATTTTCTTGAAGAAATAAGTATTAGAGCTCTAGATACCCGGTTATCGAGCAATGCGAATAGCTCGACACTCGCTCGAAACTCGTTCATTGTACAACTGCTCAAATATTTGTTTAAAATTTTCGAGTTTTTGAACAATTTCATAAACAAAAGAAAATTTGTAAATTGTATTTGTCAGCAGCTGCTTTCTAGTTCATGTTAAATACCAATGTAACAATCTTTGCATTATATATCAATAATTTGAAAAATTTAAGAAGTTGCTACCAAAAATGTCAATATAATAAAAAAACTTTGCTCAAATTACTCGAAAAAAGGTGTACTCGCTGCTCATATACCCGGGCTGTTTGAAAATGTGCGAATAAAATCGAGAGCTCTAATAAGTATACGAGCATTTTTTCCTGAGGGATGCAAATTGATTTTAGAAATTTTGATAGAAGAAAATTCCTATTCCATTTCTTGTGCGCCATTTTATATGAATTTTTCGTTTTTTTTTTTTGAGAGCTCTTAAAAGTTTAACTGCGAATGAAACCTAAAAATATGCAATGCATACTCACTTACAGAGCCTAAAAGAGTTTACAACTGATATGTCCTTAACAAGGATTCGAAGATTTAATTTGCCCACTTCTCGGTACTCGAAATATTAAAAAAACTTAGGCAGTCGTAAAAAATCACCATCTCATTCGAAAACCAGAAACCCGATATTGAGGAAAATGAACATTAAAACTCTTCTTTTTTTATTTAATTTTTTTTTTTTTTTT